TGGCTTTGATACAAACACGTTTCTAGGTCCCCTCCGACATACTCTTGTCAGACAATAAATAGATACACTTGTGTCGTTGTCAGCGCTGCTTGGCTTTATTGCTCCCCTGAATGGATCTTAAAGGGCACTTGTGTGAAGGGTATATGATTGTATTGATACATATTTGATGACATGGATTGAAAATATAATGTGTGTAATAATGGGAAAATAGGAATGGTTGTGCTGACACGGGAAACACCCACTGGGACATCATTACCATGGAAATTTTCTGGGAACATTAGGTTGGCTGGGAGCAAGATATTACCATGGAATTAGATTTTCTACATGGGAACATTAGATTTTCTGAGGGGACGACATGGGGATATTGAGCTACTGGGTGAGAGGCAGTCTAGAGTCTGTCTACTGGGTGAGGTGTTGGCTACATAGATAGACATGTTAGACAGAGGCTGTCTAGGGGCTGTCTGGGGCTACTGGGTGAGGTGTGAGATGGGGATGTAGATGGCTGTCTGGGGCTACTGGGTGAGGTGTTGGCGACATGGGGATGTTAGATAGAGGCTGTCTGGGGCTACTGGGTGAGGTGTTGGCGACATGGGGATGTTAGATAGAGGCTGTCTGGGGCTACTGGGTGAAGTGCGACATGGGGACGTTAGGCTTGGGCACTGGGGATGTTAGATAGAGGCTGTCTGGGATGTTAGATAGAGTCTGTCTAGGGCTACTGGGTGAGGTGTTGGCAACATGGGGATGTTAGATAGAGGCTCTCTGGGGCTACTGGGTGAGGTGTTGGCAACATGGGGTTGGTATAGGTAGTCTTGGGCTTCTGGCTAAGATTTAATCCTGTTATACATCAAGGAACGTGTTTTTATGCCATAAAGAAGGCAGAACTTATTTCTCTGTATTAGTTGAAGTCCGCCATCACATGTAAGACAAATCAGCCTCTGTGGGGACCTGAGACTATTTCATTGTGACAGATCACTGTCATGTGACAGGTCATGTGACACTGCTGAATGAACTGTTCGTCGAGATTACTTGTGCTTGGCGAGATTTGTTTCCGCTAGTTGACAATCAAAGGCACCTACTTCGCTCATCGATTCCCTTGATAGAAGCAGATGAATATTTTTTTCACACAATTAAATCCGCTCTCATTAATGGTTTGCATCAGAATACAAAAATTTTGATTTAAGAGCCTGTTTTGCAGTTCAGCAGCTAATTTGTGATGTCTTTGTGAAAAGAGCAGCAAAGGTTCGTTGACGTTGTTGTTGAAATGTGGTGACACGGAATTAGGGAAGGCAGAGAGAGCTAACTGTCCAGCGTGGCAGCAGATCCTAGGCCATCACTGTCTTCAACCAGTAGGCCTAATCTGGGTGAGAGGATGGTTAGAAACCAGTGTGGGGACCATTGATTAATCATTGGCTATCGACATGAAGACCTGACTGAGGTTGGTTCTTGGGAAACGAGAACAGACCGATATTGTAGACTGAGGCATATGTTTGTCCATGGATACCTGACTATATGCCCTTAATGATTATTGAACGAACCTTGTCTGAGTCACTTTCTCAGCTGATAGTTGCACAATTTTCTGTACTTTTGGTGAATACTTTTCAAACGACTGGAATTGTAATTACTCCAAGTGAAACATTTTGAGTGACTTCAGAACATTTTTTATTTGTCCAATTATAAATGAGGTACAAATCCCTGTTCGGAAAGCTTGAACTGCCAACATTTTTGTTGTAGAAAAATATGGAAAACATGTCCTGAAATTCAGTGATCACTGTCCAATTTCAACTTCAATATCAAGCATAGTATGCTCAAGCTATGTGAGAAAGGCTTGTTTTAAGAGGTTTGGGAGAGCATATTTGTTTCAGAATATGGGCAGTTGGTAAACCCAGTCAGATATAAAGAAATTGTAAATATATAATGCTGTAATCACTTGGGAAAATATAATTTTATTTCAAGTGTAGTATGTACCCCAACTTCTTCATCACATCATCTGAGATTTTTCTTATTTGTTCAATATTGATTTTGATAAAATGATAATATTGTTGATTGGATAGTTTGATTTAAAGGTCACATGCAACGTAAAACACAACTTTGCAGATTCTGATACCTTTCGGTATGGGCTTACCGAAACAAATCATCAAAAATGCAAATTCAACTTATAAAGTTGAAAAATAACGCGATGAAAAAAACCGTGCGAACTCGGAGTTCAAACGGTTCACTAATTTTCCCCCGACTTTTCGGGGGAAAACTGGTTTCAACAGCTGGGCTGCGCTCATAGCATGTGCGCAGTGAAATAGGTTCGCGCAACTTGGAAGCGGGCTGTCCGGTGAATACTCGGTGAAGGCTTTGGTGTGAGCTATTTTCCTAATGTTTTGTTGATATCTCACAGGCTGAGCTTTTATATGTTATGACAGTAAATAAACTGTTTATATAATTTCATTTTTCTATTTCACCACACGTTCTTCTTACCGAGTCACTTTCTCAGTTCGATACTTAAAAGCAATGTCATTATTTAGCGTTGACAGAATTTCTAACTGTGATATAGATATATCGTTGTCACAGACAAAACTCAATGTCTTGTTTTCTTGACACCTGTGTGTCTGCCTGCCTGTCTGCTAATGACAATATTCAATACACAACTGCGATCACTGACCACATGCAATTTGAACTTAACACCAATCAGGCTATACACCATAAACAAAACGCATTGATTTATGGCCCGGTTCGGTCTCTGTCACATTATGTAATTACACAGAAGTAAACCCAAGTACACAATATTGCACTTTTGATTTGCGATTGTACGCTTATAATTTTGTTTATATGTTTTTTCATAACCAGCAATGTATATTATATGTCATGAATAAGTGATAATTGTGTTTTAATTATGTTTGATTTTTTGGTTGCATGTGACCTTTAAGTTGAGTGGTTTGAGTGGTCAACAGTCATGGGCATGTTGATTGTCTCAACCTGGTGTCAATGAGGTATTTGAGGGGCGGTGGGGTAGCCTAGTGGTTAAAGCGTCCTCTTGTCGCACCGAAGACCCGGGTTCGATTCCCCACATGGGTTCAATGTGTGAAGCCCATTTCTGGTGTCCCCTGCCGTGATATTGCTGGAATATTGCTAAAAGTGGCGTAAAGCCATACTCGCTCGCTTCACTCACTCACTCACTCACTCACTCACTCACTCACTCACTCGCTTGAAGTATTTGGAATATTTATTTTTTCTAATTGTGAGTTTTTGTGGTTCAGAAACTGCTCTATTGCTGCTGGGATGTTAAATTGTGCAGCAGATGCTCATTGTTTGACCTGGGCTTGAGGCAAGAGGTTGGATATTAAGAGATGCCAAGATTCATGCCCATTGTGGTCACAGGGCCTAGTATTTGTGGATCTCCAGGGAAGGGGATAATTGAATGGAGGAGGAGTAAGATGTTGACCATCACCACAAGCTGACCGGGACGCTGGTGTGGAGGTCAGGCAAGGTCACCTCCAAATCTCTCCGTGATTAATGCCAGTGATTAATGTCTGACCAGAGAAAGGGCAAGTTGTCTTCTGATGGAGGTAGACAAAAGACATAGAGCTGTCTATACTGTAGGTGTGTGTCTAGTCTGTCTCACAGTCCCAGAACCATATTATTTTCCCTACAGCCTTGCCCTCCCTGCAATAAATAAGCCCTAAATGAAGCAAGTCTAGATCCCTCAGGTTCTGAATCTCTGGCCTCCCTGGGCTTCTTGTCAATTTAAGTGGGTTTATTTATTACAATCAAAATTATATATTTTGAGAGACGAAGCGTTAGTTTAGTGTGCATCGGACAGTGGTGTAGAGGGAGTGCTTGACACTGGTGTAGGAAGAGTGCCAGACTGTGGGCATGAGTGCCGTACAGTGCCCAATGTCCAATAACTGCCTTAGCCAAGTCTTCATGCATTTGTTCAATTGAGAACTGTCACCTGTGAGATGAAAGTTACTTTTCTATGTGACTGCATGTTTCAGCCTTCTTCAAGTCATTTGAATATGTTATTAGCAATAATTTATTCATATTCCTGGGGTAACTTTCAGAAATGCTGTCTATTCTGTGATAATGCAGGTTTGCTGCATCTCCTGGTCTATTGGATGATGTGTGGTGAATGATAGTTGGGAGAACAGCAGGAGAAGTAAATCATCTCGGAAACATGGAAACTCACTCTGTTCTGCAGATCTTGGAAACTTGGAGACATAGTGTTCCAATGATCTTGGAATTATAGAGAGTCAGAGCGTTCTGTAGATCTAGGAAACAGACTCATACTGATCAGCTGATTCAGGAAACATTGAGGCTCACATTGATCTGCTGGTCTAGGAAACATAGAGGTTCACACTGATCTACAGGTCTAGGAAACATACTCACACTGATCTGCAGATCTAGGAAACGTAGAGACTCACATTGATCTGCTGGTCTAGGAAACATAGAGGTTCACATTGATCTACAGGTCTAGGAAACACACTGATCTGCAGATCTAGGAAACGTAGAGACTCACATTGATCTGCAGGTCTAGGAAACATAGAGGCTCACATTGATCTACAGGTCTAGGAAACACACTGATCTGCAGATCTAGGAAATGTAGAGACTCACATTGATCTGCAGATCTAGGAAACAGAGGTTCACATTGATCTGCAGGTCTAGGAAACAGAGAGGCTCACATTGATCTGCGGGTCTAGGAAAAACTGATCTGCAGATCTAGGAAACGTAGTAACTCAGATTGATCTGCAGATCTAGGAAACATAGATGTTCACATTGATCTGCAGGTGTAGGAAACAAAGAGGTTCACATTGATCTTCAGGTCTAGGAAGCATAAAGGCTCACACTGATCTGAAGATCTAGGAAACATAGAGGTTCACATTCTGCAGATCTAGCCAACATAGATGTTCACATTGATCTGCAGATCTAGGCAACATTGTGAAACACTGAGTACTGTTGATCTAAGAAACATAACAACATGCTGTTTTAACCAAATCTTTGTTGTTAGATTTCTTCCCACAAGCATTTCCTCCTGAAATGTATTGCCTTCTGCATTCATAATTGCTGTGTAAATGTCTCTTCCTGTTTTTACGACGGCCATAAAATGTGAAACACTTGATGTTTTGTCCCCCAGTGGGTATATTCTGAATTCCGAATCATCCCAACCTGTCACAAGGGAGGTGAACAGAAATCTCCCAGCATGCATTGCATGTGAAGCTCCTGTGGTGGCAGACATGTTTTATGACGAGCAGATGTCAGTGGTGAGGTGCAGGCATATTGGATAAACAGACAGCAGATAGTTGTACCGCACAGAGCGACACATTGTTGAGAGTGTCTCAATATCTACGTTGCAATGAGCTAGCGAAGATTCCGGGGCAGAAAGGGTTCCTGCTTTACCATGCTCGCTGTTCTGATGATAAAGTGGAGGCAAGGTGGCTTAGTGTGGTCGTCACTTTGATGTATTTGATCGCCATGAAAGGAGAAAACCCCAATTGTAACCCTTGTGGGGATTTGGGAGCAGTGTATGTCCCAAGTACCTTGTCTCTCTGTGAAATCCACCTGGCACTGACATCAGCCAGTATGCCTCAGTATTGACATCAGCCAGTAAGACCCTGTATTGACATCATCAGTCAGTATGACTCAGTATTGACATCAGCCAGTATGATACTGTATTGACATCATCAGCTACTATGACCCTGTATTGACATCATCAGCCAGTATGACCCTGTATTGACATCAGCCAGTATGACCCTGTATTGACATCATCAGCCAGTATGACCCTGTATTGACATCATCAGCCAGTATGACCCTGTATTGACATCATCAGCCAGTATGACCCTGTATTGACATCATCAGCCAGTATGACCCTGTATTGACATCATCAGCCAGTATGACCCTGTATTGACATCATCAGCCAGTATGACCCTGTATTGACATCATCAGCCAGTATGACCCTGTATTGACATCATCAGCCAGTATGACCCTGTATTGACATCATCAGCCAGTATGACCCTGTATTGACATCATCATCAGTATGAGTATGACATCATCTGTATTGACATCATCAGCCAGTATGACCCTGTATTGACATCATCAGCCAGTATGACCCTGTATTGACATCATCAGACATCATCAGTATGACCCTGTATTGACATCATCAGCCAGTATGACCCTGTATTGACATCATCAGCCAGTATGACCCTGTATTGACATCATCAGCCAGTATGACCCTGTATTGACATCATCAGCCAGTATGACCCTGTATTGACATCATCAGCCAGTATGACCCTGTATTGACATCATCAGCCAGTATGACCCTGTATTGACATCATCAGCCAGTATGACCCTGTATTGACATCATCAGCCAGTATGACCCTGTATTGACATCATCAGCCAGTATGACCCTGTATTGACATCATCAGCCAGTATGACCCTGTATTGACATCATCAGCCAGTATGACCCTGTATTGACATCATCAGCCAGTATGAGTATTGACATCATCAGCCAGTATGACCACTGTATTGACATCATCAGCCAGTATGACCCTGTATTGACATCATCAGCCAGTATGACCCTGTATTGACATCATCAGCCAGTATGACCCTGTATTGACATCATCAGCCAGTATGACCCTGTATTGACATCATCAGCCAGTATGACCCTGTATTGACATCATCAGCCAGTATGACCCTGTATTGACATCATCATCAGCCAGTATGACCCTGTATTGACATCATCAGCCAGTATGACCCTGTATTGACATCATCAGCCAGTATGACCCTGTATTGACATCATCAGCCAGTATGACCCTGTATTGACATCATCAGCCAGTATGACCCTGTATTGACATCATCAGCCAGTATGACCCTGTATTGACATCATCAGTATGACCCTGTATTGACATCATCAGTATGACCCTGTATTGACATCATCAGCCAGTATGACCCTGTATTGACATCATCAGCCAGTATGACCCTGTATTGACATCATCAGCCAGTATGACCCTGTATTGACATCATCAGTATGAGTATTGACATCATCAGCCAGTATGATCCTGTATTGACATCATCAGCCAGTATGACCCTGTATTGACATCATCAGCCAGTATGACCCTGTATTGACATCATCAGACCCTGTAGACATCATGACCCAGTGTATTGACATCATCAGCCAGTATGACCCTGTATTGACATCATCAGCCAGTATGACCCTGTATTGACATCATCAGCCAATATGACACTGTATTGACATCATCAGCCAGTATGATCCTGTATTGATATCATCAGCCAGTATGACTCAGTATTGACATCATCAGCTAGTATGACCCTGTATTGACGTCATCAGCTAGTATGACCCTGTATTGACATCATCAGCCAGTATGACCCTGTATTGACATCATCAGCCAGTATGACCCTGTATTGACATCATCAGCCAGTATGACCCAGTATTGACATCATCAGCCAGTATGACCCTGTATTGACATCATCAGCCAGTATGACCCTGTATCGTCTCAAGTTTCTGAGCTCAAGTGGCGTAACCTGCTATAACACAGACCTTGTCTTCCACGCAGATCCTGTTTCCGTGGTTACATCCTGCTCTTCATCAGTAGAAGGCAAAGCACAGCCAGGAGGTTATCACAATGTTACACATGAAACAATGGTGCATCTAATAGGGCTTATCTATCTCCACACAGCCTCTGCAAGGAAAGGGGCACTTGTGAGTGGGATCAAGCAAGTTGGAGTTGTCTCCCTTTGCTCACTGAATTTAAGCATGTGCAGCGCTGTAAGGTTTTATGTCACAAATATCAGTTTATTTTTTTTTTCTGCTTTCTTTGTTAGCAGTGGGATGTCTGCGCTATTCATTGATTTTTACAGTTATGTGATAAATTACTGGATTTTCTTGCATCTGTTGCAACAAAAATACAAGAAATGAATTTGGATGTTTTACAAGTTGGCTCATTTCGATGTGTAACTGTTTGGTAATGAAATATAAACTCAGCATGGGCTTTTGTTCATCTTTGCTTCATCCAGCCAACAAGGAGCGTTACTGAAGCTGTGTTTAATGAAGTAGATGTAATGGAGCCTTGTGTAGTGAAAACCCTTTCATTAAGTATTATGTACTGAACATATTTCTTCTTTTTTGACTCCACTGATACACTAACGAATTCAACCGTATCGATTCCAGTTGAAATCCGATGACATGTAAGCTCTGTCCATGTAGCCTGGCTCTGTGCCTGACTGGGGCAAAGGCTTTAATTCAAATCCCCAGCATTGTGGCAGTTATATTATTCAGGGTAGGAGATTCTATAAAACATGGCCATTATTTTGTCATTTATGCAGAGAAGGATTTCAAATAGCAAGCACTTGCATTATATCATCATTAAGCGAGGTGCACTGGCGCTATAAAACATGGAATTATATTGCCGTTATGAGGGCGACCATGATCGTAGACAACTCGCACATTACATTGTCAAATATTGGGTTTGGAAGCAGTGTGAATACTCCGAGTAGGGACATTGTGTTGATCAGTGGATTCTTTCATGGGACAGAATTCAGGCACAGAGTGGGGGGATTCTTAGACTGTTTGCTGTGATGCATGCATGCATGTGTGTGCATGTTTGTGCATGTGTTCATGGCAGAGTGGTGTAGATGGCGTTGTTGCAGGAATTATTCCGATAATGTATGAGATCATATGTCCGGGTGTATTTCAATATGACAGTCAATGGTGCAGAAATAGTTGATGATGTATTCCCTGGGCGTTTATGAATATATTTTATGCACTGCACCAATATTCAATTATGAGATGTTATCAAAATGTAAAACTAATATAAAAATGTGAAGGCCGAAAATGTTTTTGTTTGCCACGTCGAGAAATATTCTGAACTCTGCACCTAAATCATCAGCCTGTGATGAAAATTCATAGACATTACATATGAAATACATATTCGCCCGTCGAAGTGTTCCATATCGTACTGTATTTCTCCAGCGCCATATCCATGAAATTGATGTAATAAGCTTTTTTCTGTGTCATTTAGTTTTATTATTTGCAATAAAGCATTCACATTCAACATTTGTAAGGTCCTAACCTGGGTGCCATTGTCTAGTCACTGTCAATTCATGGGAGTTTTATTGGCAATTGAGGCGATGTTATACACAGTCGGCCAGCACAGCCTATTTCCTCTGATTTAACTGTATTGTAAGCTTATGAAAGATGAAAGGAGGTATATTGAACACACAGACCTATTTATTTGTTTCTGGTGATACGGACAGACCACAAGCTGTGAAACAGGCCGCAAGAGCAGCTTACTAGGAAACAAACTGTGTGTTTATTGTTTGTTTATTGTGTGTTTATTGTGTTACTATTGTTTGACCATCTCCTGTGGAGCACAGCTGGGACCGTGCTCAATCAAGCAGAGCAGGATCCTTGCGTTGTGCTGGAGGATAGCAGGGTCCTTGTGTTGTGATGGAGCAGAGCAGGATCTTTGTGTTGTGCTAGAGAACAGCAGGATCCTTGTGTTGTGTTGGAGCAGAGCAGGGTCCTTGTGTTGTGTTGGAGCAGAGCAGGGTCCTTGTGTTGTGATGGAGCAGAGCAGGATCTTTGTGTTGTGCTAGAGCACAGCAGGATCCTTGTGTTGTGCTTAAGTAGAGCAGGGTCCTTGTGTTGTGTTGGAGCAGAGCTGTTTCCTTGTGTTGGGTTGGAGCAGATCAGGGTCCTTGAGTTGGGTTGGAGCAGAGCAGGTTCCTTGTGTTGGGTTGGAGCAGAGCAGGGTCCTTGTGTTGTGCTGGAGTAGATCAGGGTCCTTGTGTTGTTTTGGAGCAGAGCAGTTTCCTTGTGTTGGGTTGGAGCACAGCAGGTTCCTTGTGTTGGGTTGGAGCAGATCAGGGTCCTTGAGTTGTGCTAGAGCAGAGCAGGTTCCTTGTGTTGTGCAGAGCAGGTTCCTTGTGTTAGAGCAGATCAGGTTCCTGGTGTTGGGTTGGAGCAGAGCAGGTTCCTTGTTTTGTGTAAGAGCAGAGCAGGGTCCTGGTGTT